TCTCACTCTCATGCTCACACTCACTCTCCTTATCATGCTCACTCCCCCACTCATTTTCACTCTTGCTCCCCTGTGCACACTCTCTGTCACTGTCATCTTGACTGTCTGTCTCACCCTCTCCTTCCTGCTCACTCTCACTCTCTTGCTCATTCTTTTCTGCTCACGCTCAGCCTCACTCTTGTCCTTACTCTCCTGCTCACACACTCACTCTCATGCTCACTCCTCTCAGTCCAGTTCTCATTGTGCACACATAGAGGATGGCCACGAGGCAGGAATGTCGCAGAAGGCATCTAGACTGGGCTGTGGTGACTACTTTGGATTTTTAAGGTTCCCGTCCACCCTTGGGGTCTGTGGCAATTTTTCAGTTTCACTTCACACACTCTCTTACAGTGCTTACTAGCTGCCTTATAAACATGGACTGAATTAATGCCATAACAACCTTGTCGAGGATATTAAAGTTATTATCATCCCTATTTTAGAGATGAGTAAATGGGCACAGAGAGTTGAGGCAGCTCGATCAAAGTCTCACAGTCACTGTGGCAGAGTTGGGACTCACGCCCTAGCTGTCGCACTCCAGAGCCCAGGCTTTGGACCATCCTGCTTTTATAAATCCATGACTCCTAGCCAGTGCCAGATCTGCTAGCTTAAGTCTATGGATTATGGATTTTAGAATAGATTTGCAATAGCCACAAGCCTCTCGAGCAATCAGGCCCACTCTCAGGCCTCAGCTCAACTCCCGGCCTTGGTACCTACCAACTTCATACCAGAGAGATATGCACATATTTTTTCATCTTTATCTCAGAATAAGAGGTCAATAAAAAAGAATGAGAGTTACCTTTCCATAAATTAGTATTTGTCAAAAAATAAATCAACTAATATTAACATGATCTGCTAAGGGCTTCCTTGGAGATGGAATCTTGACTTGGCAAGTAAAGGCTAGCACTCAAGATGTCAAGCTACAAGGACCCACTGAGCTTCCCGTCCCTCTCCTTCCACCTGCTGTCCCCTGTCATGATCTTACTGGCCAACAGACGAATGTGGGGGTTAACTGAAGTCAAAGACAGTTTATTGAACTTAATTTTTCCCAGCAAGTGTATCACATAAGTGCACATAACATGGCACCATTCTTGCACTACATGAAATTCAGTGCAACACAATTCATCAAGTACTGAGCTCCTGCTCCATGGGCCAGTGTTGTGCCAGGGACTCAGCATCCAGGTCTATAAGGAAAACTTTGAATACAGCTAATTCAGTCTCATAGGAATGACACATGTAGAAATTTACAGACAGTCCCTGACTTCTGATGGTATGACTTACAATTTTTTGACTTTACAATGGTGTAAAAGCAATATGCATTTCATAAAAATGTTTTAAATTTGGAGTCTTTATAAAAATTCTTTATTATAAAATAGGTTTGGGGTTAGATGATTTTGCCCAACTGCAAGCTAATGTATGGTGTTCTAGCATGTTTAAGCCATCTTTCTTGCTGGGAAAGGGGCTCATAACAAGGTGGTTCTCATAAACTACTGAATGACCTGACGCAGGTCAGGCATATTAAACGTACTTTCAACTTAAAATATTTGCAATATATGCTGGGTTTATGGGGACATAAAGTTGAGAAGTATCTATACTCTCACCCAGTGTTGTAAGTATGTTTATTTGTTAGTACAGGGGGGGACATAATTTATTCCCTTGGTGGATCAGAAGACTCCAAAAAGACAGGACTGCTGAGCTGGGTTACAAAGAAGAGATAGGAATATGAAAAAGGGGGAAGGATTTTCAACCTTAAAATAGAGTCTCACAGAAGTCAGGATTAGAAGGAAAGTGAGAAACGCAAGTGAGAAAAGATACTGAGTACAATCAATTCTCTAGTGTCAGGTACAGTCAGGGTACCTAGTTAACCAAATATGATGATCATTGTCTCCACAGAGCCCATTAGAGAGCCACCCAATGTCAAGAATGCTTACTGGTCAAACCCTGTGGTACAATTTTTCCACTCTTTCTTCCTAATCACAAACTGCTTTGTATCTTATGGAGGCATGATTAATGATTACGAATAGGAATGTGCCATTTATGGACTTCTGGTTAAAAGAAATCCCTGTGCTTTGGTTCTCCTGTGATAATTTGGAAAATTATGAGTGCACTGCTAAAGACAATGCAACAGTGCCCGCCACCTGCGCAGTGCAGTCATTCTCTCAAAGTCAATACAGACCGATAAAACAGGTGTAAAGGCAGACACAGAGCACATTCCAGGACCCAGAGCATTGTTCCTGTGTCATCGGCAGAAAGATCTATCCACGCCTGCATTGTGGCACATCAGTATTGTCTTCTTCTCGCGGTGTAGCCAGACAATATGTGACAACCACAAGCTTTGTCAGGGTTCTGACCTGCTGTTCATACAAGCACAATGAGAGATTCAGAACAGGCACGAGAGATATCCCCAAAGAATACCTTCCTTTCCACTACAAGAAATTCACAATTTTCCAGTGTTCCAACTTAGAGAGATTTTCATTGTTATTCTAGGTAAATAAAGAGAGAATACTTTACTACTTTCTATTAAACACAAAAATGGGGGTAGGAGCCTTAGAGACGACAGCTGGGTGGCCTGACACCTGGGAAAGAATTCCATTTAATGATGTATATGAATTTTACTTTTGTAGTCATGATGTCATTTGATCCTCATAGAAACCACATGTAATCAGTAGGCCTCTATTAATATTCCCATTTTACAAATAAGGCAAGATTAAGGACTTGGCCAAGCTCAGCTCAATGGTGGATATAGATTGAAGTACCAGGTTTTCTGTCTCCAAATCCTATGCTCACTTCATAATTCCATATCCCCCTCTAAGCCATTAAGCAGTTGTATAAATATGTAAGTACCTTGCTTTCTCTATTTCTCATCAGAGGTATCTTCATTACTCTTTGAGTCCAACCAAATCCTTTGGAGATCATCCTAAACTTAACCCTCTTTTAGTTCTCTGGTACTTAAAATATCAGCATCAAAAAAGATGGTTCTTATAGCCTAAGAATTTTACATATATTAAACTTACAAAGTCAACACTCTGAGAGACATTTTCAGAAAGTTTATTTAGTTCAGCAGATTTATTAAAAAGGAAGCCACTTTCCACGCGACTCTGTCAAATCATTTCAGTGGCTGGTTTGCAGCAAGACTCTGAAATTCTTTTAGCATTTGCTTCCTCCTCTGTACCCACCACAGGGACTCTTTCCTCAACATCCCTTACTACATGTCTTTCCTACCACAACCCCTGTGGTTTCCTTTTCTATCTTCTTTCCTTGCTCAGTAGTTTATTAGAACCTTCTAGTCATGAGCCCCTTTTTCAGCAAGAAAGATGGCTTTGGATTTCAGAGATGGGAGGCAGAGAGAATTTAAGATGGCAGTGACAGGTAATGGGGGAGAAGTTTGTCCTCACTCTCATATTATTCATATTTGCTCCATCACAGACAAGGACCTAGAATACAATAGACACAGAAAAATAGGAAGCTATGAGCTCCACAGCCTCGTGTTCATTCTGAGAATGAAGCCATCTTGAGCACAGCCCTTCTCAAGCCCACTTGTTCCACACCCTATTGGCAGGTAGCGTAGTGAAGCACCACCACCTACTACTGGGTGGCACTAAGCAAGTGTGTGAATCTGAGCCTCAGCTCTCTCATTTATAAAATGGAGATAATCAGAGCTCTGAACTCACAGGGGTTGCTTTTGTTTTGTTTTGTTTTGTTTTGTTTGAGAGGTTTTTGCTATAGGGCACATGCGCTCACCAGACAGACAGAGAGAGACAGAGAGACAGAAAGCAAGAAATCACCCCCCAGGGGGGATGGCCATGCTGCAATCCCTTCTCCTCAGTTCTCCTCTCGGGACCTTGGACACGCACGCACACGCGCCCAGCATGAGTTCTAAGCCACCAGGTCCGGGACGCGAACTGCAATCAACTACGTGGGAATCCAGCGACATGGCCATTATGCTAACTGCTGGTTCCCAACTCACAGGGTTTTTGAAAGGAGTTGGTGTGATTAGGAATGTAGGGTGTTTGGCATAATGGCTATGAACATGATCAACCTTTAGTAGTTTTTATTTGGGTGGTGCATATTCTGGCTGGTCTAGAAAACTCTTCCTGCATCCAAATGGCCCATATAAACTAGGTCCAGTTGGAAAAAAGATTTAACACTTACTTTAAGCCAATTTGCACTACCATTTTAATCTTACTGGCTAACAGAATGCTGGTTCCCCAGACCAGAGAGGGACAGAAGACAGAGAGGACAGGTCTGAGACCATTCTGAAGGTCACACTACACTATGGACCAGTGAAATGTCTCAACAGACATTTCTCCTCTACAGATAATCATATTCTACAGGGATGTGATTCCCAGAACTACATATAACCTTCCCCAGTAAAATTTGATTATAAGTATGTTTTTTATTCATTTCTTTTCTCACTACAGTGAAATGTAAACACTCAAGTTAGTCTGTAATTCACAAGATCTATATTCTGAGTCAGTTTTTCATGGATGCAGATCCTAAGAGGCAGTTTTAGTAGTGCACATTTTGTGGATGAGTGACGCCTCACTACTGTGAGGAGCCTGGCAGTTGAAGGCTCTGGCCAGGGTGGATTCTGGGTGCCCATGATCCTGTCAGAGGATATTAGCCAGGAAACTTGGGGGGTATGCTGCTGACTCATGGCTTGACTGCTGCAAATGAAGGATGTCTGAGTAAACAGACATACCCATGCCTATTGAGAGATTCATCTCAATCGGTGCCCTAGGAGACCTGGCTGGGGCAGGGTGGTGCAGACAGGGGTCCCAGCATTTCAGTAGCTATAGGACTGTGCCTATGAGGGAGGTAAAGAGAGGAGGCCTTGTTCCAGAGGCAGCCTTCACAGCAAGGAGGCTTCACTCCTTGGAAATGCTCAACTTGCGGGTCTCGGGAGTGGGGAACTTGGGGTACTGGATGGTCTAGACTCACCAGTGGACAAGAGGCCTTCTTCCAACTGAGGGATACCTAAGAGATATTCAAAGTGGCAGCTTGAAAATAATAGCATGAAAACAAAAACCACTATTGATTATGGAGAGACAGAAGCAATCTCCTTTGTAAATAGTAAATAAATTGAAGTCCAGCTGCTGTCCAAGAAGATAGAAGCAATCAACTCTCTCAAATGTTTATCATTCCCTCAACATTCTTGCAGCTTCTGACATTAATAACATGAGCTGTGTGCTGAACCTTAGAAAGGTGGGATAGGAGGAGCTCTTACTTCTCCTAAGTATTTCTCAAATTGAAAACCTAGTTGTAAAAGAGGCTGGATGGAAATGCCACTCAAGTTAGGACATGCAGTCAAGGGAATGGATTTAAGGCACCACACAAGATATATTGACAACTCAACATCCTGGCCACTGTCCAACATTGTTACTTCTGATATTGCACATAAATCTCTTGACTTTGTAAGCATTTGAAACCCCATCACCCTGCACACCAGACCTGCCGTTTTCTCAGCTCTAGAATCTCTACTGCAGCAATCACCAACATTCCTGAATTATGAAAGTATGAAAGAATAGCTTCATTCATCTGTAGGATGTTGTTATATTTTTCTTTTTGATGTGATTATAGTTTAATTTCTACAAATCTAGCATGGTTTCTTCCCAACTTTTAAACCATGGATCCAAATGGGGTTCAAGGCAGATAGCTATGACCCTTTGAAACTGATTACACGTGAAGGGTGAACCTTCTGAAACAAAAGATTTGCCAGAGTCCCATTTCAATGCAATGTGTGGTCAGGGGTTATGCTTACTCCTTATTCACACTCACTATTGTTGACTTATCCCAATTCCTTTTTCACAGACCAAAAGGTGAGAGATTTGTTGCATGCGGTTTATGCCACACTATCCAACTTCAGTCAAGGCACGGAGATGGAGCTGGCCTGCACTCTCTTTGTGCAAGAGGGGATACCACTGGCCCCCTGTTTTGTGGAGCAAGTATCCTGGTGGGCCAACAGCAGCTTGGAGCCAGCCCCAGTGAACTCCAGCTTCAGTGAACTCAATGAACCTAATGGCACTGTTGTCCAGACCACAGGTAAAGAAAGACATCCACCTCAATGTGGCTAAGGTCGGAGGGCTGTAGACAGAGTATTACCTGTCACTTATCAGAAGCCATGGTGATGAATGTTCAAGCCACCCTCCACTGCAACCGAAGTCTGTCTTCTTGGGAGATGCTATCTTTGAATGATATGCTCTGGGAAGCAAGTAAAGTCAAGCTGTGGACCCTTTCTGCCCTTCCTCCCATGTCCACCTTCCCACACACAAATATGGAGGTACACACACACACACACAAGCACAAACACACAGCACCTCCTATCTTAGCACATGCTACAGGCTTCATCCTATGCATCTGCGTTCCTACCCCAGATGAGTTCCCACTGAGCTCTTATTTCATCCACAATGAACCCTCTGTGATAGGAAATACAGCAGGGGCTGAAAAAGTGGTTCCTTTGGAGTTTAGGTTAAGGAAAGAATTCAAGAGAAAAAAGCTATATGCCATAATATATTTAGCCCAATTTTATAGAGGATATTTTGTAAACAACCTAGGTGTCCAGGGACCAGCCCCACAGTGCGATGGTTAAGCACTGTGCATGAGGTACCAGATCTCACAGGGCCAACTACTGTTGGAATATTGGCCCCAAATTCTGATGGGATGGAAAAAAAAATATATATATATACATACATATATATATATATATATGTATGTATATATATATATAAAGTTACAGGGGCTCAGCAGGTTGCACGGTTGTTAAGGCGCTGAACTCCTACATGGATGACCATAGTTTGAGTCCTGGACATGGCACCTTGCTTTTTCACCTTTTTTCTCTCTCTGTCTCTTTCTGATCAAAAATTTTTAAAATAATAATAAATAAAATTAAACATTTATATTTTGAGAAAGAGAATTTATTTATTTATTTATTTATTTTACTATACGGTGCATGCACTCACCTGAGAGAGATAGAAAGTGAGAAAACATCCCAGGAGGATGGCCATCATGCCACAAGCCCTTCTCCTCCATTCTCCTCTCTGGATTTTGGGCATGCACACACATGTACTCATGTGAGTTTCAAGCCACTAGGTCCAGCACTCAAATCACGGTCAGCCATGTGGGCGTCCAGCACCTCAAACACTACACCACCTGCTGGCCCAAAATAAATAATTCTTAAAAAGAATTTTTTTTTAAAAAATGGGAGTGTGACCCAAGAATTGGAGGACGTACATTGCTTGCATGTCATAAAGCTATTTTTATTATTATTTGAGATGATAAAAATTATTAAGATTGAGTAAGTAATTTATTAACAATACTACTATTGTAAGTGTATTATCTCTGTTTGCAATCATCCTAAGAAGTAAGTGCTATTACTTTCCCACTTTTAAACATGGTGGAAATGAGACTCAGAGGGTTGAGCTTCTTGCCCAGGGTCCACAAAGCAAGGATTCTCACCAAGTGGTCTGGCTCCAGCATCCTGGATAATAACACAGAATTATGGAAAACATTCAAGACCTGATGTTGTTTAAAAATCAGAATAGAAAGTGATATGGTGCCAGGTGGTAATGTGGTGGTTGAGGCAACTGGATCCCATAGGACAGACTACATGGTTCAAGTCCTGGACCCAGCTGCTTGAAAAACTCACCAGGAGCATGTGTGTGCATACCCAAAATCCCAAAAAGAGAATGGAATGCAGCATGGCCATCTCCATGCTGGGGAGTGCTTTTTCACTCTCCCTCTCTCTTGATCTCTCTGTCTCGGGGCTGAAAAAGTGGTTCCTTTGGAGTTTAGGTTAAGGAAAGAATTCAAGAGAAAAAAGCTATATGCCATAATATATTTAGCCCAATTTTATAGAGGATATTTTGTAAACAACCTAGGTGTCCAGGGACCAGCCCCACAGTGCGATGGTTAAGCACTGTGCATGAGGTACCAGATCTCACAGGGCCAACTACTGTTGGAATATTGGCCCCAAATTCTGATGGGATGGAAAAAAAAATATATATATATACATACATATATATATATATATATGTATGTATATATATATATAAAGTTACAGGGGCTCAGCAGGTTGCACGGTTGTTAAGGCGCTGAACTCCTACATGGATGACCATAGTTTGAGTCCTGGACATGGCACCTTGCTTTTTCACCTTTTTTCTCTCTCTGTCTCTTTCTGATCAAAAATTTTTAAAATAATAATAAATAAAATTAAACATTTATATTTTGAGAAAGAGAATTTATTTATTTATTTATTTATTTTACTATACGGTGCATGCACTCACCTGAGAGAGATAGAAAGTGAGAAAACATCCCAGGAGGATGGCCATCATGCCACAAGCCCTTCTCCTCCATTCTCCTCTCTGGATTTTGGGCATGCACACACATGTACTCATGTGAGTTTCAAGCCACTAGGTCCAGCACTCAAATCACGGTCAGCCATGTGGGCGTCCAGCACCTCAAACACTACACCACCTGCTGGCCCAAAATAAATAATTCTTAAAAAGAATTTTTTTTTAAAAAATGGGAGTGTGACCCAAGAATTGGAGGACGTACATTGCTTGCATGTCATAAAGCTATTTTTATTATTATTTGAGATGATAAAAATTATTAAGATTGAGTAAGTAATTTATTAACAATACTACTATTGTAAGTGTATTATCTCTGTTTGCAATCATCCTAAGAAGTAAGTGCTATTACTTTCCCACTTTTAAACATGGTGGAAATGAGACTCAGAGGGTTGAGCTTCTTGCCCAGGGTCCACAAAGCAAGGATTCTCACCAAGTGGTCTGGCTCCAGCATCCTGGATAATAACACAGAATTATGGAAAACATTCAAGACCTGATGTTGTTTAAAAATCAGAATAGAAAGTGATATGGTGCCAGGTGGTAATGTGGTGGTTGAGGCAACTGGATCCCATAGGACAGACTACATGGTTCAAGTCCTGGACCCAGCTGCTTGAAAAACTCACCAGGAGCATGTGTGTGCATACCCAAAATCCCAAAAAGAGAATGGAATGCAGCATGGCCATCTCCATGCTGGGGAGTGCTTTTTCACTCTCCCTCTCTCTTGATCTCTCTGTCTCTCTCCAGTGAATGCACACGCCCTATAGCAAATTTTTAAAAGAGAGGGAGTGAGAGAAAGAAAGTGATACATGGACGAGTGCTTGAATTGAAAACAATATGGATGTGGACAAGAGGAACACAATTCAAATGCAAAACTTAAGAAAATTTTGATAAGGTGGCCTCTGTCTCCCTCTCTCTCTCTTGCTCTCTCCTGCCAGAGGGCCCAAGGCCATACTCAATCCTGGACTGATGGTCCTCCAAGAAAATAATGGTGCTCTGCATCTCAGTAGTGGGCCAGTGGAGGGACAAGGGGGAGTGACACTGTGCAGCATCTCCCCATCATAGCACCTAGTCCCTCCAAAGGTCTACCTGGGGCAGAATCCCTAATTATTTCTGGGAAACAGCTCCATACAGAACCTAAACAAAAGCCTGGCCTTCAGCAACTAGTTACAAACCCCAGTTCAGCAATGGGCAGTAATTAACAAGGAGTCTATGAACCCAACTTTGGAGATCCTTCACTGCTCCCCAGAGAGGGTGTGCAGCTGTCAGTGATCCAGTCTGGTATTGGAGCCCCCTTCCCACCCAGAGCAGGAAGTTGAGAGACTCTACCATGGCCTTGGCTCCCTGGCAACCCAAGGAGCTGACAGGGAATTAAACATTTTTAAGTAAATTGAAAAGGCACTAGAGAGACTACTTTATCAAAAAGAGGCCTTGATTTTTGCATTTTGACTTGGTACACCTTGCCCACACCTGTGTCCCACTCCACCAGAATGTCCATTTAACCTGCTCCCCCCACATGCAGGCAAGGGCTCGCTGTGGGAGCAGGTTGGCGCAGCGTCTGCCCAGCTCGCAGTGGTGAGCACCATGACCTTCCGAAGCACTTGGCAGAAAAGATTCTCCTCAGCAGATACGCAGCTCCTGCCTTTCACCTGTGCCCATGGCTGTGTCCTCCAGGTCCCCATGATGTACCAAATGGCTGAAGTCAACTACGGTGAGCCCCTTCACTGGCTGTGCATAGTGAGCGAGACCAGAGCAGTGGGTAAGAGAGGGCAGGAATCCTCTAAGGGTAGGGACAATTTTCCATGGGGCTGCATCTGGTGGAGGGAGGAAAGACCAGGGAGAAAGGAGACTCAGAGAGGGGCCTTATGACAACAAGCTCCAACAGGACAGTGAGGATGTAGATGTGGGAGAGAGGCCAATTTCATGCTTGACATTTCCCTCTGCACTTAACAAAAGCGAGGATTAATGTGAAATCATATATATCAGGACCAAACTGCCTCCCCTGGCAGGCACCTCCATAAAATGAAAACCCACTTGAGCGTGAGGCACTGAGTGAGGATGGAGGATTGAGAGTCCAGTCTCTCCAAGACTCTCCAAGAGCACCCAGAGTGGAAATTCCATTGGTCCTGAAACACCATCATCAATGTGCCTGCCCAACCTGATCGTCATTCATCTTGGTCAGGGTTGCACATGGACTAGAGGGTGCCTGATGCCAGCCAGCACCAAGCACTTCCATCTCAGCAGACTGGGGTGTGCAGAGGACTCCTGTGGGGCCTTGCAGTGCAAGGAGGAAGGGACCACCCCCTCCTGCTCCCACACACTGCCATCCCTGGCCCTGCAGCTTTTGGGGCTATGCTCTTATCAGGGAAAAGCAACTGAGATGTCAGTGTTTTAGGAACTTGCTAGGAGTCCTGCTTTGATTCCATGAAGGGCATAGAGTGAATGCCCAGTAAACACATTAGTTCATTAGACCGATAATATCCATTGAGGTCAAGTAAGATGAGAATGGAAGGATGTCTAGAAGATAGATGAACATGCTTTACAATTTCTCATGGTTGCTGTAGACCCTTGCCGGTTACTTTGACTGTCAGCTACATGACGGCAGGAAGGCCCCATGTTGTCTCAGGACATACAGTGTATAGTGAGTGGTGGCTGACACATAATGGGTGCTGAGTATTTCTTGAGTAGATAAAATGAGTAACAGGAATTATATCCTAATCTTTTCCTTCCAAGCCTGAGATTCTGACTCCATGGCCAGTCAGCTCTGTGATCCCTAATACCAGGTCTTGGTCTCACCATCCTCCAGGGGAAAGGACTGGGCTGGAGGTGTCCCCTACCTGCCTGGATCACCTATAGAACCTGCTCTCCCCTCTCCATCACTCAGCCTATCCACTGCCTGTGTGTTACCTGGCAGCTCTCACTGGCCCTCCCTGTCACTGGATGTCTGTGACGGCAGCCACCTTAGCTATTACACTCCTCTGAAACCATGCTCTGCCTGAGGGCTGCACTCATCTTCAGCCAGTCATTGCCGTTTTCTGCAAGCTGAGACCTAGGTACAGGTTACAAATGATCAGCCTAGACTCCTGCTTTGTGGGGCCTGCGTGGTATTTTAGAAGTTGGGAAATCATGAAAGAAACCTGGATTTAGAGCTTTTATTGAAAGATGGGAAGACCTGGCATGAGGATTTTGGGTCCTCACATGGCTGTGGACCAGAAATGGAGTGGCAGTCCCTTTAACGTGGTATGTGGTTCTCCCACATGTGCTGTTCCCACCATGCTCAGCTGCTACAGGCCCTCTGACTTGGGCCCTGTGAGGTTATCTTAGAAATCCTAGGTCTAGGCTCAGAAAAAATGACCGTGTCACCCAACAGCCTTTGGGCTTACGCTTGTTCCTGAGGGTGAGGTGGGCACCCTATTTTATTGTTTCCAGTTCTGTGAGCCATCATCCTCCCAAGTCAGGCACTGTTTGGTCCTTTGACCCCTGGGACAGTACTAACACTTGATCCACTGAACCCCCCAGGCCAGTTCCAGGACGCTGCAGGCCATCAGGTGGAGGTGCTGGAGCTGCCTTTCCTAGGACGTGTGGCGAGTCTCTTCCTGGTGCTGCCCCGTGACAAAGACACCTCCCTGAGCCACATTGAGCCACACCTCACAGCCAGTGTCATCCACCTCTGGACCAGCAGCCTGAGGAGAGCCAGGATGGATGTGTTCCTCCCCAGGTGAGCAGCCACGTTTCCTCACAGAGTGCTCTGGTTGGGCCTGGATCTAGAACCACACGATCTGACCCTTAAGCCTTAAGTACCAAGCTGCTCCAACCCAAGGCAGATCAAGGGGAAGTTACCCTGGAATTCAAGTCCATTCCAGAGTCAGTGCTGACTAGCTCATGGCACAGATGAAACAGATTAACTTTCTGGGGTCTTCCCAAAACCAGATTCTCAGCCTTTATTGGGCCAGACTGGAGCCCTCAGGCTTCCTGCTCCAGCTTATGCCACAACCAGCTCTCAGAACAGGAGAAGAAGCACAGTGCAGTTTGCTTACAGAAATGTTCCCCAAATCTTATCTCATGCTAGGTATACATGAGAGGACTTCAAAAAGCTTGTGGAAAGATGGGATTAAGGTACAAATTTATTTTGGTGCGAAAAATGTTTGAAATTCCGGCATAGTTTTCCATAATACACAGATTTCATGAACTTTCTGAAGACCCTGTATAACTCATTTTTCCAAAACTAAAGAGACAAGCTGGCTTATGTAATTGAGCAAATACAGATATACCTCTGATCAGAAACCAAACTAAAGCATAAAAATTTAAGGCTGTAAGTCTCTGTGCAGAAAGTTTCATTCTTTCTGGATGGAAGTGACTCCTCCTTTAAGAACACCCAGTTGGTCCAAATGCAAATTTTGTTTGTTTGTTTGTTTTTTGTTTGTTTGTTTGTTTTGAGAGGTTTTTGCTATAGGGCTCGTGCGCTCACCAGAAAGACAGTCAGAGACAGAGAGACAGAAAGCGAGAAATCCCTCCCCAGGGGGGATGGCCATGCCACAATCCCTTCTCCTCCATTTTCCTCTCGAGATCTTGGGCATACACACACACACACACCCAGTGTGAGTTGAAGCCACCAAGTCTGGGACTTGAACCACAGTTGACTACATGGGAGTCCAGTAACACAGCCATTACACCAACTGCTGGTCTCAAATGCAAATTTCAAAAACAGTTCAATGATAGCACTACATTTTGCCTTTTCAAAATAAAACTTATTCACAAAAGTTATTACTTTACAAAAGGATTCCTTTAGGACCTCTTTAAGTTAGGAGCTTCTCTGGCTCATTTGAAATCAGAGTAAATTTATAGTCAATTTATTGCCAGCATTAAGTGAGGGACATGGTCCAGGGGCTCATTTTCAGTGTGTGAATTCTTCATGCTCCTGCCCACTCGCCACCGTGGCCTCCCTGCACTGTCCGGACTCTCAACAGTGCAAAGGCAAAGACCTTGGCAGTGCTCCCACAAGGAGTTATAAATAGGTCTATGCACTGGAAGGAAAACATACAAAGAGAGACCCGGCCAATTAGGTCTAAAGTGGGATCTGACCTAGCACAGGGCAAAAGACCAACCTAACTCTAAGATAAAGTCTGTCTTTTAAAACCAAATGTTTGGTTCCCAAATCCAAGCCCAAAGATTGAGTATTTCAGTTCTCTCTGGCATGGAGCTGAAGCAATGCTAATCTTCCTGTTACATTTGAAAGAAGCTCAGCAAAGCCGCAAGACTAGCTCTGGGAGCTCTGGATGTCAAACATAGAGAGGATGCAGGCAGAGCAGGCATTTGCCAGTCTTTTCAGATTTGGGAGACAGGTCGCTGGCCTCATCCTGGAGCAGCTGACGTCAGGACATGGCCCCAGGGAAATACCCAGCTCTATTGAGAACTCGCCACTGTCCCAATTCTGCCTTTAAAAGTCTCACACTCTTGAGTAAATGATCATGAAAATACTAGAGCACAGAGAACAGGGAGGAGGGGACCACTTAGTAGTTTACACTTGACCTTGACCTCATTCTGATATTTTTCTAATCTTTCTAAATCTGTTGAGCCTACTGTCCAAGGATAGGAGGTTTTAGGAAAATGAGACTATTTTTCACAAGTTAAGTTAACCAAGTTAAAAAAGAAAAAAGAAAAGCTAGCTTTAAATCCTTTAGGGAAAAAGAAATAAAAAGTATTTTAATTTTCAGTAGACTTTGGAACATGGTAGACACAAAGTCAGTTCTTGGGGAAGAATTTACTTCGTGTTCTCTCAAATATTCATTTGTCCTTTAGTATGATCTGCTCTGTAGTCAGCATGTAGTTTTCATTCAACGAGGGCAAAAATATTTGCCCTGAGGATGGCAATACAAACAAAAATTGTATGTGCTTTTTGGGTTAAACTACCAAGTAGTACATGAGTAGATTCTGGATAAATTACAATGTCTAGCTTCCCAAGTGACCTTTATTTATAAAGAAAGAAAATAAAATATATAGGGACTGTCTAGCATGTCTAGCATACTAAAAGAATAATCAAGAAAACCAAGAAAGAATGTTTGTCATTCATACCCATAATCATGTGTGTCCCACAAGAAAGACTAATATGTCAAATGTATGCTTAATTAATTTTTAAAAGCTTGGCTTTTAGATCAACATACTAGGAATCAGAGCATGAGCATCTTTCTGACATTAGAAATGATGAACGTGTTTCTAAAATCCAGAGATCTCATAAAACCAAAATAAGCTTTTCTCTTCCTTCAAGAAGCTGCTAATCATCATTTGGATTTATATTTCTCTAAGGGTGTTTTCCTTTAATTTAAATTAAATTATAACTTCCACACATAAATTCACTCTTTTAAGATGCTCAATTTAGAGGTTTTTCAGTAGACTCACAAAGTTGCTCACCCTCACTACTATTTCCAAAACACTTTCAGCACCTCAACAAGAAACCTTGTCTTGGGGGGCTGGATGGTGGCATAGCAGTAAAACACAAAACAATAAAACACTCTGTGAGGCAATCTCATATGGGAAAGTTCCCGGGTCAAGTTCAAAGGCCTCCCTGAGTACAGTGAGCACATCTTGTCCATAATCTGGGGCAGGCTGAAGGCTGAGGGTCGATTGCAACACGAGGACCCCATTGAGAATGCTGTCTCTCTTCTTCCCCCTCTCTCTCTCCTTCTCTCAATCATGGAAAGAAAGGAGATATATATATATATATA